TCCTAATCGGAGGGAGCGGGTCCGGTGGCAGGGGCAGCAGGCCCGGAGGAGCAGGGGACCGAGGGGAGGCTGGCCGACACCCAACCATGCGGTGCAGGGCCTTGCAGGCTAAAGGGTTTTTGGGGTCTTTTTCCTTAGAGCAGTGAGAAGCCATTAAAAAGTTGTAAGCCTGGAAGCAGTACAGTCGGGTTGACGGTGCAGCCTCAGGTGCAGGGCCACTGGGAGGGGCATGTGGCGCAGGAACTCCTCTGTGGTTGGGAAGATGTCCGGTGAGAGATGGGGGCGGTGGATGGTGAGGGTGGTCGCTGTGAAAGGCGTCGATGGGGCAGAGTCTGGAGGCCTCGGTGAGCGCGAGCTGCGTGTCGCTCCTGTTTCTGTGCTGCCGTTGAGCTAATGGCTCATGAAGTTTCTCCTAAAATACTTCTTTTTCATAATGTATTGATTTGTTCAGAATTTGCATGAAGAAAGTTTAGTGATTTTGTTTCTTCAAATTTTATTTTATTGTTTCTCTATTTTTTAAAATAGGGAATGGTTCAAGTGTTTCTAGGAACAGCAAGATGCTATACTTTTAGCATCTCTGGGCCATACTGCAAGAAGAGTTGTCTTGGGCCACACATTAAATACACAAACACTAATGACAACTGATGAGCAAAAAAAGGTTTTAAATAAATTTACAATTTTGCATTGGGCCACATTCATAGCTACCCTGGGCGGTGTGCGGCCTACAGGCTGCGGGTTGGACACCCCGGTGCTAGCCATTCATGGTTAGTTAGTTAACAGCCTTGGAGATTTTAAAAAATAATAGAACATAAGCAAAATTCATTTTTACCATTTTGGTTATGGAATATAATTTCTTGTGAGTTGAATCAAAATTTGTTGTTGTTGGTACTAGAACATGGGGAACTAGAAACTCAAAAGCAAAGTGTACGAAAGGATCAGTATGTAAACGCACTTTGGTGTTTGTGGGTAGGACAGTTAGGATGCTCATCAGGTGCATTCATGCCTTTGGGCACAGCCAGGGCACACGCCACTGAAATGCGAAGACAAGAAATGAGAGGAGTCTGGGCCTCAGGGCCAGGTAGCAAAGACTAATTCAGAGGAGACCTCACGACCCAAGAAGGCAAACTTGGCCTGTGCCCTTGCTGCGTCCTGCTGGCCGCTGGGCCCATCAGCATTGGCAGCGTTTAGCCTTTGTTCTTGTTCTTGGAACGGAGGACAGGTTCTGCATGTGTGCCCGTGTGTCTTTGTGTCTGTGTTTATCGAGTTTATACCCTTATGCTCACTTGTGTATGCTGACAATACCAGGTTTACTACACATGGGTTAGAATAAGAAGTAAAGCTACTTATCAAAAGTTCTCAAATACATGGTCCGAAGGCTCTCAGACACCGTGGTTCTGGAGAAGAATTGTGCTGTGAGATGAACGGGGAGTTAATGAAAGGAATGGGCAGGTTTTTGTGAATGGGGGTTTGGTCCATCGATGGTCAGTATGTTTTCCTTTCTGTGAAAAAAGAACCCTTTGCTCACTGGAAGTTCAGTATAAACAGCTCCCAGATAAGCTGGGAGACCCTGTAAGGACGCCAGGCTGGGTTCCATCAGGAAATTATGATCAAGTGGAGGCCATGGCCTCTCTCCCTGGAACCCCGGCCAGGCACCTGTCACAGCACCGAGGCACAGGCTGAGGGAAACGTCGCATGAGGGAGTTGGTTTATTCACTGAGTAGGGGAGTTCAGCATGTTATCTCACTTGTTCTTTCCCTCACATGGTTGGTGTGCACCGGTATCTGAGCATCTCCACATGCTCTCGTTGCTGGTTCTGTCTGAGGTCCACAGGCTTATTTCAAGTCTCACTCCGTTATTTGCTCCAAACTCTCATAAAGATGATTGTCACCTCGCCTAGGGTCCCCATGCTCTCTGGCCCTGTCCTGCTCCCTCATACTGAGCACCTGTTGGAAGTGCAGAATCACCCCACCCAGGACCCACAGAGTCCGGATCTGCATTTCAACACAAACCCAGGTGGTGGGATGCATGTTAACGATGGAGAAGTGGTTTTCCAGGTGACAGATGCAGTAAAAACCCTCCCAGCCTGTCTCTCAAAGCAGCACAGGGCTGAGGACTTTTAGATCTGTTGGGTTGGTCAATAAGTCAGTATGTGTTTTTCTGTAAAATGTAAGACACATTTTTCATTTTCACCAATAATTTCATTGATTTGGATATTTTGAGCATGTCAGCTGTCGCTCGTGTGGCAGCATGCTGATTGTTTGCAATTAATATCTCGATTTGATCACTATCTACTTCAGCTAGTCTAACTGTCCATGGAGCATCGTCCAGTGAGAAATCTCCAGCATAAAACTTTGCGAACCACTTTTGACACGTTCAAGCAGTCACAACACCTTCTACATACACTGTCCAAATCTTTTTTTGTGTTTCAGTTGTGTTTTTACCTTTCTTGAAATAATAAAGTGTAATATGCCAAAAGTGTGTATTTTCTTCCATCTTTAATATTAAAATGGCTACACAAAAATTCACCAATTTGATAACTTTTTTAAATGTATGCTGCTATGACAGCTGTCACAAAACAATCTAACAAAATTGTTCTTTTTTAGTTTAGAGAATTTTATTTATTTGTTTTTAGAGAGAGGGGAAGGGAAAGGGAGGGAGAGAAACATCAATGTGTGGTTGCCTCTTGTGCACCCCCTACTGGGGACCTGGCCTGCAACCCAGGCATGTGCTCTGACTAGAAATCAAACTTGTGACCCTTTGGTTCACAGGCCAGCACTCAATCCAGTGAGCCACAGCAGCCGGGGCTCTAACCAAATTGTTTTGAATGAAGTTAAAGACAACTAAGTGCTACTACAACCGTCTTAGGCAAAAACCAAAAAAAAACACACCACCAAATTTTTTTGCCAACCCAATGGGTAACTGGGTTGATGGTCAGTGCCTGGAAGGAAATGTGGGCTGCCTCCTGTGAGTGGCCAGTTCCTCACCTGCAGGTGGGGCGATCTCTGTGTTCCAGGGCTGGGTGAGGCCTGCGTGAACTAATGCAGGACTGGCCTACACGCCGTTTCGGGGTGGATATGGCGCCGTCGCTGTGCTCCAGGCTTCCTGAGCAGCGCTGACTCCTCATCCCTGTACCTTGCTGTAGTCTCTTATTCTCATTCTCACAATGTCTTTAATTAGTACATTAATGTAAGTATTTACTAAATGCATTTAGCTAGCCTCCAGCATCCAAAGGCACCGTGTTACCCGGGAGTGTAGTGTGTGCACTTGGTTCCCAATAAGTGAGACGGGGAGGAGGCGGGGCCCTGGTGAGGCCCTGGCTGGCGGCGCAATCAGCTCTGTTTCCAGCGGCGACAGACGACCTCGTTACTTTTTATTACATCCACGCTGAACATGAAATAATATTCAGATGTACTGATCATATGAAAATAATGCAATTTTTAAAGTAAATGGCTTTTTAAACAACAATGGAATGTTCACTGGAAATGACTGAGCACCTGGCGGGAGAGTTGGGAGGTAATTACGGAGAGATTGGTCTTCGCCTGTGACTGGTGCTGTAAGCTCGCTGTCAGGTACGGCCGGAAATAAAGCAAATGCACGATAGGGGTTTTAAATGCAAATCAGAGCTGCACTTTTCCAATTGATATATTCTTTGGGTTAACCAAGAGGCTTGCTTTCTGCTTGCAAGTACTTATCACAGCTGCGTACCTCCGTTCTGCAGCCTCGGTGAGGGCGTCTGGGGTGCCCTTACACGTGCCCTTCCCCTGATTCTAATCAAAGGCTCAGTGAATAGAGTTGTCCTTTTTCTACTCTGTTAAGTGTCCTGCTTCTTGAAATTGAAAATATAGTTGAAATGTCAAAATAGAAATCATTAGACTTTTTAGGATTTTGCAACTTAGAATCTGTTAAACCGAGACGCTTTGTTAAAAAAAATGATAGTGGAATCACCTGTCCGCTGAGTGTTCTGGGCACGTCAGTCGCTGTGTAGGGTGCATTGTGTCACCTCACGGTGTGGAGGTTCTCTGCTGGCTGGGCCGCCTGGCCTGCTCATGGCAGACCTGAGGATGGGAGTCGGGCTGCTGCCGACCCCAGCGTCCCTTCTCTGGGTCTGGCTGCCAGTACTGCCACCACTCACTGTCTAGCCCGCTAAGGTTTTCCTGTAATCCTGCAGAATTAAGTAACTGATCGGAAATCAGATTTCAGAGGACTGAGCTAACACATCATCACTCTGTAAATTTTTTTAATCCTCACCCGAGGATATGTATATTGATTTTAGAGAGAGAGGAAGAGACAGAGAAACATGGATGTGAGAGAGCAGCATTGATGGGTTGCCTCCCATACATGTCCTGACTGGGGATCGAACCTACAGACTAGATCTGTGCTCTGGCCAGGATTGAACCCTCAACCTTTTGGTGTAGGGATGATGCTCCAACCCACTGTGCCACCTGGCCAGTGCCCTCTGTACATCTGTTAGCAACCAGGATCCTTTCAGTTACGATCAGTGCCACTGTGGTAGCAAAGATGACTTTTCTGGCCCCTTCAAACCCAGAAGGCCTGTTACTGACCTGTGTTCCTGTGTTACTTCTGGAATGACCTATGTACTGCCTATGTACTGTTCCATTCTTGATGATTCTTAATGTCCTAGGAGTACGTGAGAGAATTCCTTGGTGCTTTGCTGGTTGAGACTGTGAAGGGTGGTGATGTGGAAGTCTGTATTTCACGCGCAGGCTGCCCCTGGGGATCAGCCTGGATGGTGAGAAAGCGGCTGGTTGCCTCGGATGGCAGCAGCTGCTCCCCTGGCCCCCGGTTGCTTTTCTTTTTTACAAGGAAAAGCGCTCTAGGACTCGATTCTGTAGTGCTTTTTCGCGGGGGGGCCGAGGGGGGGTGCGATTGTGCTTACATTTTTCTCTTTTACATTTTGAAATGCACCAGTGTGTCTTGTAGATCTGGTTCAGACTTGGTCCTGTCTGTCAATCTCACGGTGTCCCCTCTTGTCCCCGCAGGACGACGAGGTGGTGCTGCAATGCACGGCGGCCGCCCACAAGGAGCAGCAGAAGCTGTGTCTGGCAGCTGAAGGATTTGGCAACAGACTCTGTTTCCTGGAGTCCACCTCCAATTCCAAGGTGCGTCGAGCCTTTGCGGCCGTCCCCACACTCCGAGTTGCTCGTGGTGCTGGAGTTCCTGATGGGCACGCTGCTGTTTTCTGGGGACACGTACACTGAAGTGGGCTTGACAGATGTGTTTTCTATTCCTCAGGCAGATTTTAATTGAGCCCCTGCTCTTTGCTGGTAACGCAGATGTAATTGCTCACGAGAATGGAAAAGTCCTTGCCCCGGGATGTTATATTCCAGCAGACAAGTAAACAAGTAAATAACTGATGTGATTTTGGAACTAAGGGCCCCAAGGAAAGCAGAGTAACAGGGTGCGAGTGCTGAGGCCAGGATGCACCCCGTCACAGAGGGGGTGACAGGAAGGCCCGCGGGTGGCGGTGGGACAGAAAGGAATGAAACAAGGGAGAGAGCAGCACTAAGTTCTTGACCGTTCTGGAAAGAGGAACCAGGTGATCGAAGGGCCCCCAGTTAGGACTGTGCTTGCCCAGGGCTCAAGGCGCAGCTGCCTGGCAGGGGCGGTCTCGACGCGGCCTGCCACGGAGGGCCTGCCTGGCAGGGGTGGAGGCGAATGTCTCCCTCGAAGGAAGGGAGGCTATTGGAAGCAGGAGTGGTGTGTTTGGGTTGAATGTGCCCTGGTTGCTGCGGCTGTCGTGCGGTCGGGAGGGGCCGAGAGCCCCAGGGGCAGCGAGGCCAGCGGGGCGGCGCCTGCAGCAGTGCAGGCCCTCAGGCCAGAGGCAAGGCTGGTGGGGAATGGGTGCATGGGGCGCGCTTTGGGGCCTCAGAGGTGCTGACAGGTCAGGTTGTGTTACAGGGGAGTCCGACCTTTTGGCGTCTCTGGGCCACGCTGGAAGAGGTGTTGTCTCAGGCCACACACTAAATACATCGCAACACATAGTCACAAAAAATCCTCATAATGTTTTAAGTAAATTTACGATTTTTTGTTGGGCTGCCCTCACAGCTACCCTGGGCTGCATGCGGCCCGCGGGCCGCTGGTTGGACACCCCTGGGAGAGAACAAGAGGGCACAGAGGTGGGGGGGGACAGGAAATCAACCGGGAAACAGTCAGTTTAATCTTCTGTGCCGCACTTTCTTGTTTAAAGTCCTGTGGCATGCACGATCTCATTTACCTGTCCCCGGGAGTGTGCGCGTAGCTATGGCTGCCGTGTCCTCTGCCCAGACGGGAGACAGAACACGAGGAGAGGGCGGGTGTGCAGCTGGAGACGCCTCCTGTGACTGGGAGCAGCCTGGTGAGCAGCGGCTCCTCCCACGGAGCCTAGTCCCTGAGCCTTTTCTTCCTGCCACACCTGCTTTGCTCATTCTGTGACATAGTACTGAGCAACGGGTACACACGGTGTATTCGTCGTCATAATTTCATGCAAAGTAACCTTACTGTAGTGTAATAGTGGGTGGGAAAACATGATGTGTTTTGTAGCCCTGATTAGATTTATGTTTAATTTGATAAGTGCTGAGCATTCTTCTTGCAAAAACTGCTGTGATAAGTGTCAGTTGTGAAAATATTCTTCTTATTCCATGGCCTATCAGTGAACTTTTCCTTGAGGAGCATATAGGTAAAAAAAATATTCTTGAAAAGAAAATGTTGAGTGCTTTACTATTTGACTCTTCCCCATGGTGGGTGATATTCTACACTGGCTGGAACTAGGCAGGCCCCTTAGCTGGTTTTAGTTTCCACATGACATTGAACTCTGCCCCAGTGGCTGCCCCTTGCTCCCATGACCTGACAGCTGGTTTCCACTGCGGAGGACGAACACGCGCCGTCCTGTGGTGGTCAGGACGCCGAAGCCGGGCAGGAAGCGTGTCAGCTGCTCAGCTCCTGGCAGGGCCAGCGGACTCTCTCGCGGTGGTTGACTGTCTAGTGATGCCGATGACGCGCATGAACTGACCATTTTAACCATTTTCGTTGTTGTCATCCTATCTTATTCTTTTCTGGTTTATCTGAAAATGTGCGTGTAGGATGAAGTATAGAAATTGCTGAGCAATTGACGTTCAGTTAAACTATCTGAATTGTTTATTTGAAGTTTTTACAATGTAAGTGCCCTTTCCTGTCCTCCTCAGATTCCCTGAAGGTGTCAGTTTTTCCCACATCTCCATTTGCCTCTGTTCTCCCTGGCGCATGTGCATCCTGGCCTCTGCTGCTCAACTGCTTTTGTCCCTTAAAGCCTGTCTCACACAGTCCCTCTTCTGGGTTGCTGTTACTCAAATGCCCTGAGTTCTCTCGGTGTTTGTAGGGCTTTGTGTACACTTCTACTGTATTGCCAGTGGGCTTAATTCTGTATAATAGCCACTCCGCCTACTCTTCCAGAAAAATGTGTGTGCGTACTCTCAGATGCATAAACTGGCTTCTGAATTCCAAGGACCAGAGCATAGCTCATTTATTTTCTTGTTTTTCAGAACGAAGCAGAGTGCTTTGAACTAGTAATTTAAAATTTAGTAGATTGTTAAGCTTGAAAGGGAACCACTATCTTAGGCCAGTTATAAGATAGACTTAATTTTGTATAATAACAAGGAGTAATCCTAGATTTCAGTTCATGTTTAAAATACATAAGCCTGGATTTGACTTTTATTGGGAGAAAAATCAGAGATATCCCTTTTCTCCCTCAATTTGGCACCTACTGCATTTATTGTAAAGGTTGGGAGAAGAGAATTATTGTTGGCAGTGAGTAGTCAGTCCCTGTAAATTATGTATGTGTTCCTGGAAATGGTCCCAGGAACACCTCAAGCTAAAGAATCTTTAATCAGAAGCAGGACTTTTCAGAAGGCTCACTCATGCTCCAAGGTTATTTATTCAGGCTGATTTCAGTCTGAAAGAGAATGGTTCAAAATTCCAACATAGATATTCTGCAACTCATAATTCATCCTTACACATATCTATTGTGTGCTCTTTATATGAATGGGCTTTCTTTTTTGTTTCTGTATTTTAGAATTGAGAAGTTGGGCTTTTGCTCTTAGGAAGCAGTCAGGATCAGACAGACCTACCTTCGGTATTTCTTTTATTATTTAAAATTTTTTCAATCATAGTTAATACTTAGTATTTTGTATTAGCTACAGGTATATAGCATAATGGTTAGCATTTATATAATTCATGAAGCAACTCCCTTAGTAAGTTCAGTGCCCACCCAGTACCATACATATCGTTACAGTATTACTTACTGTATTCCCTGTGATGTACTGTATATCCCTGGGACTATTCTGTGACTACTAATCTGTACTTAATCCATTCACCGTTTTCACCCAGCCCCTAAACCCCTTCTTATCTAGCAGCCATCAGTTTTTTTTCTCTGCATCTATGAGTGTTTCCATTTTGTTTGTTTATTTTATTCTTTAAATTCCACATATAAGTAAAATCTGTGGTATTTGTCTTTCTCTGACTGGCTTATTTCACTTAGCACAATACCCTCTAGGTCCATTCATGCTGTCACAGATGGTAGTATTTCACCCTTTTTTAAGGCTGAGTAATATTCCATTGCATATATTCATCACATCTTCTTTATTCAATCATCCATTGATGACCACTTAGGTTGCCTCCTTATCTTGGCTATTGTAAATAATACAGGTTCTATGTGCACTTGAAAGGGGTGTATATTCTACTGCTTTGGAGTGAAGTGTTCGGAAAATATCAATCAGACCTATCTGGTCTAGTGTATCATTTAAGGCTGCTGTTTTTCTCGTTGACTTTCTGCCTGGAAGATCTATCCGTTTACGTCAATTGTGTGTTAAATGACTATGACTGTATTACTGTCAATCTCTTCTTTGATGGTCATGGATATTTGCTTGACACACTTAGGTGCTCCTGTGTTGGGTGCAGAAACATTTACAAGGGTTGTATTCTCAGGTTGGATTGCTCTCTTTACTGTTATGTAGTGTCCTTTTTTTTTTTTTTTGTCTCTTTTCACAGCCTTTGTTTTAAAGTCTGTTTTGTCTGATAAAATTGATGCTACTCCAGTTTTTTTTTTCCTCCCATTTCCATTTGTGTGAAATAGCTTTTTTTATTCCTTCGCTTTCAGTCTTTTGATCTAAAGTGAGTCTCTTTTAGATAACGTATGTATGGGTCTTATTTTCTTATCCATTCAGACACTCTATGTCTCTTGATTGAAGCATTCAGTCCATTTACATTAAAAGTCATTACTGATAGGCACATCGTTATTGTCATTTTATTATTCATATTTATATATATTTTTTTCTTTTTCTGAAAGAAGCCCCTGTAGCATTTCTTGTAATACTAATTTGGTGGTGATGAATTCCTTTAGTTTTTTCTTCTCTGGGAAACTCTTTTATCCCTCCTTCAATCTTTAATGATAGGCTTGCTGGGTAGAGTAATCTTGGTTGTAAGTCATTGGTTTTTATCACTTTGACTATTTCTTGCCAATCTCTTCTGGATTGCAAAGTTTCCATTGAAAAATTAGCTTACAGTCTTATAGGAGCTCCCCTGTAGGTAACTAACTACTTTTCTTTTGCTGCTTTTAAGATTCTTTAACATTTGCCATTTTAATTATGCTATGTCTTGGTGAGGGCCTCTTTGTGTTTTTCTTGTTTGGGATTCCCTGTACTTCCTGGATTTGTATTTGTTTTTCCTTCATCAAATTAGTGAAGTTTTCTGTCATTGTTTTTTCAACTAGGTTCCCAATCCCTTGCTCTCTCTTTTCTCCTTTTGGAACCCCAGTGATGTGAATGTTGGTATACTTCATGTTGTCCCAGAAGATCCCTAAACTATCTTCATTTTTTAAAATTCTTTTATCTTTTTGCTGTTCTGATTGGGTGTTTTCTACTACCTTGTCTTCCAAAATCACTGATTCAGTTCTCTGTTTCTTTTAATCTGCTATTGATTCCTTCTAGTATATTCTTCATTTAGGAATTTTCTTTTTATGATTTCTGTGTCCTTTTTTAATACTTACTGTCTTTCTGTTTAAGTTCTCACTGAGTTCACCTATTCTTCTCCTAAGTTCCTTGAATATCCTTATAGCCATTGTATTGAACCTGCACCTGATAAATTTCTT